AAAAAAAAAAAAAAAAAAAAAAGATTCAGGCCCGTAGAAACGGTTTCAAAAGTTGGGGGGGGGGGGGAGGGTGCAATTTCAAAAAAAAAAATCTGACAAGCCAAAAAAAAAAAAAAAAACAGAACTGCAATTTACCAGTGCTCGGCCTTGCATCAAAGGGGGGGGGGGGACCTGCATGTAAAGGAACAACTATAGCAAAATACTTTACTAAAAAAGGGGGGCGCCCCCCCCCCCCCCCGTGTTCTACGGGCCTGAGATTACTAAAGTATTTAATAAAAACAGTTGTTAGAATGATAAAGTAATTGAATCAGTAGCCGAAAAGAATTTAAATGAATGAAAATTTTGTTTAATTCTTAATTTCCACGCACTACGCTATCTTTAAAGAGTCAGTTTCGCAGACCCCGGGATCATGAAACAGACTTAGACTTAAGTCAAAATTTTAATCGTCCTTCAAGTGTCTATTACTTGTGAACCGAAACTCTTTATTTGCATGCATAATTTGCAAGTTTATTGATGCCAAGTAAAAAAAAAATTCTTCATTTTCGACTGCTTCATTAATTAAATCATTTCATCGCAATATATATTTTTAGACTTAATCTATATATTTCAAGATTTTGAGCCCAGTGCATGTTCAAAATTATTTCAAAATTTTATTATTCTGAGAGTAGATTTTATTTCCCTTGCTTTTTTTTTTTTAAATTACTATTATTGTTTTACGAATTACGAACAAAATCCAGCTTTAAAACAAAAAGAGACAAATGCAGTTGATATTACCCATGAATAAGTAAAATTCATTTACATGTAATTGATATTACTCGTGAATCAGAGCTTGTTTTTTCAAGATATGTTTGTTTTCAAGTATATCACATGTGCTTAAGATGCTAAATTGCATTTTTTTTTAAAAAAAAAAAAACTATTTGTCCGAGAAAGAACACACATTTTTCCTCCAATTTTGATAATTCATGGTGCAAAAGACTGATATCACGCTCTCTAGCTCAGAATGTGAATGTCTTTCGAACCGAAATATTTAAACATACTCCTGTTTTGCCCAAAGAATTTTAATTGATAAAAAATGTTTATGTGTCTTAAGAAAAGGAACTCATGAAGCCTTGCAACATTGAGAAAATCCCTGGGTAAAGTTATTATGGAATTTCCGAAAAGTTTATTTTTTTGAAAATATCCAAAGTGCAATTTTTTTTTCCAGGTCGCCACTTGATAACACATACGATTGATCATCTGTGCCGTTGTACATTTCACAATGGAAGACAAATGTTCTTTTTTTCTTTTTAAATATAAATATTTTTGGAGAGAAAAAACCTGTAATTTGGAAACTGTACCGCTCAGCAAATTATTTATAAAAAAAAAAATGAAATTTCCCAACACCTATATAAATACCCTTCGGTGGGATCTGGTGTGACATAGATTGCTTGGTATACACCAAAAGGTAAGTAATTCGTAAACAAATTGATTTTCAAACAAAAATATTTGCTTAAGGTCATTGTTCTGTTTTGAATTTAAGTGATAAGTAGATATTTTCTGTTTACTTCTTTTCAGTTTTCACATTCTCGCTCAAAACAACTTCTAGTTCTCTCTAAAAAAGAATTCAAATAAAATTTCAAAAAAATTATAATGTGCGTGGACAATGGTGTTTTTGTCAAATTGAAAGGTCTTAGATATATATACTTATTTTATACCAGAATATTTGTTCTGTAAACTGCTACAGGTTTTTCTTTGCCTTGTAAATATTAAGCTTCAATGGGTAGATTTTATGTCTAAGAAATCAAGTTCAAACTTCTTGCCAATTTATTTACTAACAGATTTTAATTAGTTTATCTCTACTTTTTCATCGCGTAAATACAGGCACTGGGCAGAGTTCAAATTTCATCTATTGATCGTACTTTTGCACATGTAAATCTACGTTCTAAATACAAAAGACTTCTATTCCTTTTTTTTTTTATTAAACCCCTTTTAGAGTTGTTTTATCCAATTTTACAAAGCATCGTTCTTTCATTCTATAATCTGAGTTACTTTCAATGCTGGGATTTTTTAAGAGGAATTATAAAAATTATTCTATTTTTATTAAAAATGATCTATGAAATTTGGTCTTTTTTTCACTATGCCTATAATGCCGATTTCCAGTTATACATTAAAGATTTTTATCGAGTTTTATTTGGTTTAACTTTATTTTTCATAGCCCTGAATTTTGATGTTCAGTTAATTTTAATTGGCTCTGAAATAAGGCAGTAGCCTTGCTATAAATTTTTTTTTTCTTATATCGAGATCGTTTCAAAGCAGGCGACGTCTCTATTTCAAAGTACATCTTGTAAGGGACGTTTACAACAGAGAATTGATCAATCACTGTATACTAGAGTAATTTAGCAAGTATTAGTTAAAGGAAAGGGTCGATAAGTGTTATATCTCCGTTAAACCCTCGGAGTAAGTATTGGTAAAGACTGATCAAGACAGTCAATATCCTTAAAATAAATTCGAAATATTTTTTCCCTTCAAACAATAAAGGCATAGTACGACATGGCTTTACTCGGAACGTCAATGGACGAATAAACTTTTCTCGAATAGGAAAACAAAGGCGAAAATGAACCAATTTTTGCGGCTTGTAAATGCATTTTAAAAACAGTACATAATGAGCCCTGTTAAATTTACATGAGACTGTCAGTGCATTGTAAACAAAACAGTCTGTTGTTCATGTTCCTGCAAATGTATCAGGTGAACACAACTGTGATCACAATCGCAAAAAATATCATGAAGTGCAGAAATGAAATTCAATAAAATGTAAATTTTAAATGAAGTAATAGATTGCATTTTTTTTTGTCTTTTCTTGTTGTGGGATAAAAATTTATTAGTCAGTTGTTAATAGCTAATTTGGTTTTTGTGCTAATTGCTATACATGTACATGTAGTAACGGTTGAAAGTTCTGTAGTCTTTGAAATATGAAAATAACGAACAGTAATCAAGCTAACAATATCAATGAATCTTTACATACTGAAATCAGAGCAAAACACGGACCTCTAAAACGTCAGAGGTGGGATCAGAGCCATAGAGGAGAAAGCATCCCTTGTTAACCGGACACAACCACCGTGATCCCCCTTGACATGATCGGGTTAACAGAGAAATCCTTAGAGAATTCAGTATGAAAACGGTTGCCTAACAATATTTGATAGAAAAAGTCCAAATTCGACTAAACATACAATCCTGCAAATAAAGTCATTGTGTTAACCATGGAATTTGCGATATGTTGTTGAGATACCCTTGTATCATCTACTTATTTGTCAGTAGCCTGCCTCGGTTTAGAAATTTTTCGTAGGCAGAACATGCCTATGTGTATATGATCCACCAGGAGACATAAATATTGCTACCTAAAAAAGGAGAGTTGACGAAAAAAGGTGAAGACATCACGTTAATCATAAAATTTATTTGTTACTTTATCATTGCCGTGTGCATCATATCTCAAAACTCATAGATTCTTCGGCCTTTAAATTGGGTTTAATCAATGGACCCACAACCTCCAATTCAAAATCTAAAGGGATTGAAGATTACAAAATTGGCCGCTCTTCGGAATGTGATCCATCATTTTTCATGATTTTCCGTTGCTTCTATATATATAATGTAACATGTTGCACATATTCGAAATAAAATTAGAAACCACACTCAGATAATCTCTGGAAATAACTACAAGCACATGAGCTTTATATAGCAATGGCCAAAATAATATTCGAGTAAACTATACTTATTTCTTTAAGAGGGGGAAAAGTTTTGAAATATTAAATTTCAGTGTTAAATGGTATTTTGTTTCAAGACTATAAAATATTTATTTGCTTTTGCAAAAATAAATAAAATAAAATAAAATAAAATAAATAAATGAATAAATAAATAAATGAAAAAGATTTAACAAAAAATAATTTTAAAAAATGATAATCATTATAAAAAACAAAAAATTAAAAAAATGAGGTGGATGTGTTCATATGGGTTAGTCTATACTGTGGTTTCATTAATATTAGTGGGCATCAATTTTCGTAGATTTAGTAAAAATCACAGTTTCGAGGATACGTAAATTCGTGAATAATGGTCCTAACAGAAAAAAATTGTCTGTCATCTTTTCATTCTCTAGCCGTATGCTTTAGCGGGAACCATCATGACATTAACAATGTAAAGAGTACGTAAATATTTTTAAAAAATTACTAACAGGTGAAAACTCTTTAATTTATTATTTATATTTTACTTGTCTGCATGTTTAAAAGTCGGAACCTTCAAGCGTTTACAACGCAGTATGATATAACAATAAAGGGTGAGGCATTCCAAATACCTTCTCCGCTGTACACTGTGAGCTCGATGGACCAATTAAATATCAGATATTGAAAGAGAATATTAAAAGCAATTCATTTAAAAAAAAAAAAAGGCTTTTATTTATTCAGCGTTCAGTTTATACATTCATGAAAAAGATGTGCAAATATCTCAAAATATTAAGGCAATTTGAATTTTATCTTTTAGGCGCACATGTGTATACGGACGATAATTAAGCGTGGCAACAGAGCATAAAAAGTAACAACAATTAAGCATTTCAATTTAGAAAATGATGTTAGATACTTTAGTTATTTTTACATGCACGGTGTGTGTTTCTGGACTTGACAGACCCCCTTGTTTGTAGATCTCCGAACAAACACATCCACGCTCGCTGGATACGACTTCACGCTTAAACATGCAACGAAATCCACGAAAATTGGTGTTCCACGAATAATGATGAAACCACAGTAATTAAGACCTTTGCATAATGCGAAAGTTTTTATTTTCATACCCAATTCTATAGGAAATACAACAGCATCGTATCGGAAAAATCTTTGAATTATTAGAAAAATGTGAAAAGTGGCAGACAGATACACAGAATGCCCTGCAATAGATTTCTTAGACTTTTGGCTATTATTCCGAATCGCAATCTGAAACATTTTTTTTTCATTTTTGTGTATCAAAAAACAAAATACAGGAAGAAGATGGCGATGGAAATGTTGTTTGTTGTCACTTGCGTAGCAGTCTTAGGACTGTCGTCTGCACTTCTGAAACCAATTCCGTTTCCGGTCGAGTTAGAGGAATGCTACAAATTAAGCTCCTACAACATGACGCCGTCCGACTCAGTTGCCATTGGTATACAGAACTTCTGCTACAAAAGTTTTCAATATAAACAGATAGCTGATAATAAGATGTGGTCCGGTCAAAACATCACACAAAATGAAATTAACTACATTAATAGTTTATTCCGACAAATCTTTGCTGAAGCAAGGGAGGTAGAAAAATACAAGAAAGGCGGGCGTCTCAAACGACAAGCATTCCCAGGAAGATACAGACGAGAAGTGCGAAGTCCAGGCGCTTTCCGGAGATTTGTAGATTGTATAGATGACTTAGAGAGACGGGTAATTATTTACTCACATTTTCAAGATATATATATTGCGAAGCTGTAATGGTCTTTCTCATATTACATCTGTAAAATGTTAGAACTGGCGTCACACGTCTATTACATACATTCAGACATATTTCAGACGAAATGTCGGTTGAAGTGTAGGCCGTCACCGGTTCTAAATTAATACGTTTTCCAGAATCAAAACATGAAGGCTTGCAAAGAAAAGTAGATGTAGGCGAAAGCCTGTCCACTTCTCTAAAGAGAAGAATGTCACGCGATGTAAAATGACAGATTGAGAACTCCGCATAATCGTATCTAAAAATTCCGGAATGATTACATTTTTCTCTCTCACTGCTAGACGGTGTAAATCCCATTATTTCATGTTGAGACATTTGAATTTTTAGTCTATCGACGGATCCCCACGCAACGCCTACCAAACACTATCTCTTTTCCACTCGGGACCAGGACTGGCAAGTGCTCACAGAGGACCTGCCTTTGGCCCATGGCACAGAATATACTTACTTGTGTAAGTTTTTGTCCTAACTACATAGATAAATTTAAACGTTATAATTTCTTACATGGTTGAAGGATCGGGTATAACAAGGGCACTGCAAGTGGAGCTTCCCCTCGCAAAAGAGAACATCGATCCTGAGGTAAATTATAACTCCCATTACGCACGCACTCACTCACCCACGCTATCGGAAGCGATTTACCAAAAATATTTTCCCTCTAACTTTGTTGCAAAGGGATGATTAGCATACGCCTGTTTTATGTTATCGGCACATTCTAATCCGCAGAAATGTATTTAAGGTCTTTTGTTTCAAAGACCGTCTTTTGTTTCAAAGACCTACTGACTCCGTTGGTTAAGATTATTATTTTTTTCCCCTAGACGCTAACTTTGAACCTCATATCTTGCTCATTTCTCAACGGATTTTGCTCAAATTTTCAGAGTATATAGACGTTACAAAACTCTATCAGAATATTGTAATACATTTCAAAAATCCACTTCCGCTTTTGAGTTATTTCCCTTGAAATGAAAAGTTAGGTCATTTGGTTTCCAGACAAAGGCTCCGAGACTACAAAAGCTGGAGCAGAAATACTACTGAATATAAAAAAAAGCATTGAAGTTGTGCACATCGGTTTTTGTTTTTTGATTTCTGTGTTCAAAATGCCGCTAGATAGGGGTAAAAAATTAGAACGCCTAAAAGAGCGAAAATTTACACATATTTTCCTTTGTATCTTTTAAAATAAAAATAATTTGTCAAAATATGTAGAATAAATATTGTGCACAATTTCAAGGTCTTTCATTTGACACCACTGAAAAGGGGCTGGCCCCTAAAATTAGGGATCTAGGGTCCTTTAAAGGTTTTGCTTTATTACTCAAAAACGGTAAATATTTCGATATGACTCTCATATTGCAAGTTGATATCCCATAAAAGATCGCTAATAACCTTAGAATTTGGCATGACCTTGACTCAAGGTCACTTCGCCCTGTCCACAGCTCCAACAGAAGACCTACTCGTTGCTTTGCAACGAGTTCTGCTCGAGTTTATATTTTATTTTTAATAAGGCCAAACAAAAAAATATGTGTGGTTCCGGTTACACCTCCAAAAAAAATTAGGGCAGGTAGGTAGGGATTTTTTTTTTTTTTTTTTTTTTTTTTTTAACAAAATGATTTTCTTAATTTTTCTAAATAATACTTATCACTACTTTGCAAATGACATTTAGATGTGGTGTGATAATATACTAATCAATATTGGTAGCTACATGCTAGCTTGCTTTGGATTTAACACTAATAAACACTTGCACTATGTTGTGCAAGGGGGCCGTCATTGCTGAAACTAAAACTTAAACAGGAGCCATTGATGGAAATTGGTGAAAATTCTGGAAAAAATATGAAAATTGCAAAAAAAAAAGTTTAGGGTCGGGGTATAAAATAGGGACGGTCGGGTAACCGGAACCACACATATTTTTTTATTTGGCCTAAGACAATCTGACCCTTTGGACGAGCGCAGATTCATACTATTGGATACCTATAATATATTCAGTTTTAACTTCGATCTGCCTCTTCAAACTGCATGAGACATTTAAAACGTCTAGACTCTGACGTCACGTGACATCGTATGTTAGTTAAAGTACCAGCCAAGTCTGAAAAGTGCAAATTTTAACAAACTGAAAGAACTGGGAGGCCGCCCAGATCTGGTTAAAAATTACGGCCTTTAATTCTCACCTGCCGGACATAGAAATATAACTGGCAGTCACGCGTCGCGTTTAATAATAATGGATTGATATCTTTATGGATAATAGGTCGCGTGCATGGGCGGATACAGGATTTGTGATTAGGGGGGGGGGGGGGCGTGGATAACTTCATTTAGGCAGGGGTTCGGGGGGGCCGCCTTAAAGCCCCCAGTGGGTCCCCGGAAGCTCCTGGGTTTTCGTGTATTTTAAGAGTAAAACCAGGCACAAAAATAGTGGTATTGGTTAGTTATATACCAAAGTATGGCATTATTAATATTAGTCATATCATACTTTGAAAATTTTAGGGGGGGGGGGGGCGTGCGCCCCCCACGCCCCCCCTTAAATCCGCCAGTGGCGTGGAGGGGGATATTCTTACAATTCTTTGTCAGTAGGAAGCATGAAATGGTGTTATAAAGTATTCTTCTTGACAATTGAAATTTCAAGATTTTAACATCTCATTGGAAACAAATAATTTGTAATATATTGACGGTGCGACCGTTAGGGCGAGCGCAGATCTATACTTATTCAGTTAAAATTTAGATCGGGCTCTTAAAACCGCACGTGACATTTGGTACGTCTATACTCTGACGTCACATGACGTTGAATATAAGTTGCCAATCTCCTATGTAGAGTTCTGGTTCATTTCTCTCTCAGACACCTCTGCAATGGGCTTGCGTCAAGATTTTTGACATAACGTAAAAACATAACATGTCAAGGATTATTTCAAAATAATTTAATTTCGTTTGTATTCTAGCCTCTGATTGGTTAATATCCAAAAAGGAACACAAATTATTTCTGTATAACCTGTTTTGGTATGGGGACACCCCCCCCCCCCTGACAACCAGCTGAATCATCTGTATCCATACAATCCTCTCATTTCCAGTCCTCGGGATTCATGGAAAATTCCAGATTTAATAAATGTACCTTTAACTTCAAACAACAATTCGATCTTACCTCATGCAAACAAACAACATGGCTGCTAGGCCTATGTATCAGTTTTTACCTCCCCTCGCTTCCCATCACTTCCGTTACTACGGTTGTATTATTGAGCGGCAAATTTGAACTAATGAAAAGCAACGAAATTTTAAACCCCTAGTTATTTAATGATTCTAAAATTAAATTATAAGGAATGAATCTAATTCTTGGCCAAATTATTCGAGTATAACCTGGTTTGGGTCAGTTTACGCTGTTTTATAATCCGCTTCGCGGATTATAAAGCGCAAACTGACCCAAACCAGGTTATACTCGAATAATTTGGCCAAGAATTAGAGTCATTCCTCAATCAAACTAATAGTATTAGATTTATTTAGTGAATGTCTACCTTTAAGGACTATCATTAGCTCAAACATTTAACTATAATGAATACTAAAAGAAACGCACTATTTCTCGTGCTTATCACTGTGATATACGCGAGCCAACGACAGAGGTGAATATATGAGCCGATGGTAGTTTATTTTTTGTTGAAGTATTTGGTTATTCTCGCGAGAACGTAGCTTAAACAAGCGATGCATTGTGGCAGAAAAAAAATCGTTTGGTGTGCAAGTCCGAATTTTCTCTTCGCCCAGGCCTTATCGTTAGAGCTCGCAGTGCGAGCGGCGCTTCGCGCCGCTCGCTGCGCTCGCTATAATTATATAAAGTATACCTTGAGAGTATAGGTTATCCTCAATAAGTTGGTGTTTACTTTGCTTTAGTTTGGAGACAGCATGTAGATCTCCTATCCCCTACTGGGATTCTACCCTTGATCACGAGATGGAAGATCCTACCGATTCAATTGTTTGGAGTGATGAATACTTCGGAAATGGTGACGGCGTAGTCATTACTGGGCCTTTCCGAAACATGCGAACAGTTCTGGGTGGCCCCATAATCAGAAACATTGGAACAGGTTTGCCAGTATATTAAATGGTTAAATTAAATACAGTACACTTGAACATTTTACCTAATGTGCATATGTTTCCTTATTTTATGCATTGCTATTTTTTATTATTAACATGTAGTAATGGAAAGTGCTTATATATATTTTAAATTTTAATTTCTATAAAAATATTAGAATACAATTGTTATATCAGCTAAAAATCAAGGTTATTCTACATAATATTTTCTCTTGATCACTGAATGGCTAGAATTTAAATATGTTCATTATATACTTAGGTCGCAGCGCCTTGTTCACCAAATTGGGTCTCAGAACCGTTTTGAGTCGAAGAAATTATGGAGATATAACGGAGCCTAAAGTAGGACAGGAAAGAGTTTACTCTTTGGAAGCCCATCACAATGGTCCACACAATTGGATAGGAGGTCACATTTCAGCAGATAGTACTGCGTCATTCGATCCGGTGTTCTTCATGCATCATGCTTATGTTGACGCTGTTTGGGAACGCTTCCGAGTCCAGCAGGTTATTAATGGGATTGATCCGGAACAAGATTATCCTAACCCCCCTCATCCTGTTGGACATGGTCCTAATGACATAATTGACTTCAGACCATATCTTGCTCCAATAACTAATAGCTTTGCCATGTCGAATGTAATTGCTAATCTTGTCAGATATGAACCTTTCCCAACTTGCTCGAATCGATGTAATGGGAGTCCTCATTTGCGTTGCCAGCGGACTAGTTCCGGTCAAGTCTGTGTGTCTACAGTTCGGCCTGGTGCACAAGCTTTAAGACGCTCTCCATTAATGATGGCTGCGCCGAGAGGGCAGCAGTTTATGGATAATTCCTTAGCTTTTGGCGCAAATGATTCAGAATCTTTTGGACAGTCTCCATCAGAATCACTAATGATGGCTCAGGCAAGCGGGCCTATTCCTGGAGGCAACAGATTCCCCGACTCGCCATTTAATGATAGGCGGAATAGAGAAAATACAATAGGTACTGCTCCTGTTGCACCGGAAATCCAGGCAGCTAGGATGGAAGTGAGAGAAGTTGTTCAAGAAAGAAAACGAAGGGATGTTTCTAAAATATTTCAAAATGGCACAACCAATGGGGCTCATTATCAGTCTGTTTCCTCCCTTCAACGGTCTTTTACAAACACTTTCCTCCTTGACGGAGAGCTAGATCTTAAGCGATGGGTTTATGTGCCAGTTCGTATTGTGCACACTAGATCTCTAAATGTTGACAGTATTGACCCAACCTTTTATGGACATGTAGTAAGATTGTCAAATGATGTTTGTCATACAGTTCAATCTGGTGCTTCAAAAGTGTTTGTATCTTCCGATGGTTTAGATTATTCTGGAACATATAAAGAGTTTGTGATAATAGATGAGAGGCAACCGGTTTCCGTTTCAACAACTGCTGTAGGGATAAAGAACCCGGATTATGGCGAAGGAGAGGTTCTGTTCACTGCACATGACTCTTGTGGAAGACCATGTCGCCCTCTGTGTTTGACGGACACCAAAGGGCAACAGAAATATAAGGCTTGTTCTGGGGCTTTTAAGATCTCGTCTGCTAATCCTAAGATGTACAAACCTACGTATAAAGATGCCACAGCTGGTGACTGGATACTGCACAATATGGTAGATTCGTTTTCTCTGGATCCACAAACTCCTGTTACCTTTGTCTGTGGAAATGGTAAAAAATGGCCTTGGGAATTTTAGACTTTATTATGTATACAGACTATGGATTGTCACAAATTTTATTGATCTATGCAACTTATGAATATGCAAAAATGAATAAAGATTTAGTAAAGTAACGGTTTAATTAATGTGCATTCCTGCAATATATTTTATCATAATTTATTTATTTTGTTCGAAGTATCAGCCAAATACTAGTATTTGTTACTAAATTGTACGAATATAGCCAAAAATGAGAATAAATTAATTTTTAACTAAATATGTCAAACTCCGCATTGATCAGCGCATACATGTTGTCATACATATTATCATTGGAAAAGTCCGAATTTATCCAGTGTTGTTTATTTACCTTTAATTTATATTTTAAAATTTGCACTGAAAATCTGTTTTCATCTCGTCTATTTTACTACAATTCTTACGGTATCTTGAAAAAAGAGAACAAGTTTTGAATTAAATTTTGATTTTGCTTGCCATTTACAGATATATTTTCCGTTAAGGATTTTTTTTAGCTGCTGATACATTTATGCTTGTTTCCAGTGATAAGTTTTAATGTATTTAAAACACACATACACGCCATGCGCGGATCTAGAAGGGGAGGGGGTGTCGGACCGTCTCCCCCACCCCGGGATTTTTAGAGTTATAATTTTTTCTATGTAAAATAATTTTTAAAAATGACCTTGGAGCCCTTCCCCAGGAAACACAGACCCCTCATAAAAAGGTAAGAAGAGTCATTTATGACAAAGAAAATTAACTTGTTCTCACCCACACGAAATAGAATTTTTCAGGTTTTGGCAAGTTATTTGACTTTTTTTTTCTCCCGAGTCCGATATTTGATTTGGTATAAACCCCATCCCGGAAAAAAATATCCTGGATCCGCGGATGTGTTCAGTACACGTATACTCAGGTAGGGAATATTGGCCACCCCCACCCCTTCCATAAATCCAGGGCAAAGTCCTGATTGGTGTCCAAGAAGCGAAGCATCAGAATTCCGACGAAATAAACCTTTTCAAAATTAATCATACATGAAAATGGAGAAAATATCCATATGTCAAATTTGAGTTAAATGTGTGCAACCGTTGTCGAGATATGAACAGAAAGTCATTGATGACGGATTGACGGAACAGGGTAACACTATATGCCCCAGCCATTTTATGGCGGGGGCATAAAAATCGTCCACTACTGATACCGAACCTTGATGTATATGTGAAAACTGGTTGCAAAAACTGGTGGTAATGCAATCTCTCACCAGAGGGCGTATTACGCTGCGCTATAAGTGGAGCGAAGCAGGAACGATAACTCTGGGTAGAGATTGGTGGTAATGTTATATGTTATCTACGATTGTTAATGTTGAAAATCAATACTCATTTAATTTTGTCATGTTTTAAAAAGATGCGCATGCCTGATAAGACAAACACACATATGGAAGCTAAGCGCCACCGAGTACAGTGTTGATGAACAGACAGACGAACGGACAATGTGATTCCTGTGGGTCTCCCGCATTTCACGCGGGACCCTATAAATATTAACTTAAGGACCCTCTTTACATTAATGAAAAATGTTTTGGGAATTGAGAAAAATAATATTTTATAAAAATTTGAATGTTGAGTTCATCTATTTCATTTTCAACTTACATAGGGTACCTGCAATTTATCCTCCCCCCCCCCCCCCCCCCCCCCAAGTATCGACGAAGAGAAATCACTGTTGCTGACTTGAAAAAATCGGAAAAGTACTTGCAGATAAAGTGTTCAATAAATTTATCTTGGTCTCATAAAATTTCAAGAATATTTGAGTTGCATACAAAAATACAGTACATAGATTTTAATTTATTTAGTTTAGCTCTAAGGCCAGATTACGAAAATACCACAGTGTGTGCGGTGTAATAGACGGTCTTTGGTCTCAAAGTACTTTTATTTAAGAACTCTTTCTACACTGTACTCAAAACAGTTTAAATTTTGTGGTATATTTATGCAGTTAGAGTAATCTGCCCCTGGATCTAAAATCCAATAAGGTCATTCCAAGTTTTTTCTATGTTTAGTGTCCGCGGACGGATTGGTTTTGGGGTTATGGAATTTAAAACAAGTAAACAACTACAAATATTCATAACACAACTTACTCTTTTGGGATCGGCATTTTATTTTTATTTTAAGTTGTGTACCAAAATATTTAATTGTCATAAACTAGAAGTTTATCAGTCTTTGTTGCAATAAAAAGAAAATTCTCAAATGATGATGAGAAATTCTCCAATAATTTTTATAATACTGTTTTTCCCCTCTTTGTTTGTGTGTTTTTCCCGGATAGAAAAAATAGGTTTTTGATTTTAGGGTGGACACTAAATATACAAAGAAAAAAACTTGGAATGGCCTAAATTAAAATCTACAGTGTATTACCCAATTTTTATTTAATTCAGGCATTCTTAACATTTTAATAGGCGAACATAAATCCATTGAACACTTTATTATCATGTAACAACCCCCCCCCCCCCCCTCCGCACACACACACACACACACACAAGTAAACAAGTGATTTCTTTTCTCATCAACACTTTTTGCGTGGAGATAAATGCCAGGTATCCTGTGTTGAAATTGGGATAGATAAGCTTAGTATTAACACCTTTATACAATATAATTTTGTCAATGTCCAAAATAACATTTAGCTTTAGTGTAAAGACCAGAGGGTCCTTGATTGAGTTCATTACTACATATACTTTAAAGTTTTTATGGGTTTTTTTTATTATTATTATTTTTTGTTTATTTGTTTTGTGCTTTTTGTTAAAAAAAAACCCACAAAACATTTTAGCGCACTTGTCCTCACCCAAAAATCTGCATTTGCCCTCACTTCCCTGTATGTGAACTTTTCCGGAATCAGAGTATTTACCGTAGTAAATTTGTACTACTATATGGACATTTAAATTTCCGGTGATAAATCAAAGCCTTAGGGATAAGACAGGGTAGTGACCACCGCAACCATTCTGATTATTCTGCATGGAATAAAATGGTGAATCATGAAAATTCTATACAGATGGTAAATGAAATCATAATTCGACCAAAAGTAGACGAATTAGAAAATGAAAAGGCTAGATACGAATGCCCTTTGCCGTCTTGTACAGCCACATTGAGAGGAATCGGTTTTGTTCCATCACATCTGAGAAAAGTGCACAATGTAGTGATAAACAACGAGGTAAATAAAAAAGTAATTTTCTTATCCTTATTCGACCATATGCCAGTCTTCTGAATCTGTTACAGTCTGCTGTGGTCTTAAAGTTTCTTTACGCATGTTTTTAAAATACCTCACCCACAGGTACTTGTGGACAGGACCCCCCCCCCCCCCCCCCCCCGATATTCAACCCCGGGACTTGTTGGACATTTTTTCACAAATTATATTTATTACACTTATTCATCATGTATACCATAGGAAAAAATTGTGAAAAACCCAAAATAATCGTTCCACACAGAAATACCTCATTATACATTATAAGAGAGAAAGGTATGCCACTCTGGTTTGTTTACGTTGTACCCCCGCTGGTCTTTCTGGGTTTAAAAACATGTACTTATTTTATTTTAACCTAAAATGTCGGTTCACACTGTCTCCACATGTATTTCTGTCTCAGATCATGCTTTCGGATTGACTCTGCATCTCGTAAGAATCCCACAATTTCTCCTTAAACAGCATTGCAGTCAGTGTGTTGAAAAATCCTTAGGTAAACCGGGGGGGGGGGGGGGGGGGGGTCCTGTCCACAAGTACCTGTGACCCAGCCATGGCATCAGAAACAGGTCTGGTACAATCACTAGATTTAGCTATGTAGCTTGATTTACCTATATAGCTTTATTTACCTACCTGAAGTAACTTTATTTAGCTACTAAATCAAACTTATTTCTTAAATTAGCATTTTTCCCAGAAAGTGCAGAAAATTGCACTTTGGTGCAGTGATAATTTTCAACTTTAAACTCATCTGAAAACTATTCATGAAAAAATCACTCTTGGAGATGTGTCTTTTTCTGTGCAGTTGCAATCAAAGTTCTAAAAGTTTTGGGGCTATATACAACAGTTAATTTGTGATCTAACAGTTACTTCTTGAGTGAAATAACAAAGAAAACCAGTTTTGGTTAACATGAGCACAATGTAAAGTAATCATACTTATCCACGCCTCATCGCACACAAGGTGGTGCACAGTTACTCAAACAATGGAAATACATATTTTTCTTAAAAGTGTTCAAATGCAGCAATGTTAAAAATATCTCTGCTTTAGATTCCTTTTTAAATAATACCTAGAATAAATATTAGTAGACATTTACTTGCGACTTTTTGTCTCTTTAAAATAAAAAGTAAAATTGTGAAAATTTGTCTTGAAATAGCTAAATAAAGCTACCTGAGGTAGGTAAATAAACCTACAGTAGGTAATTTTAGCTATGTAGCTAAATGTACTGATTGTACTGGACCTGAGAAAAGCATTTAAAAAATCCACTTTTCAAGGGGACATGCGTACATTTTTCACTATCAAGTACTAGTACTAAGTAGTTATGTTAGATCGTTTACAACCATAAGATAACAAGAAAACATTGATGTAACCATCAATTGTCGCACGGGAAATAAATAAAGTAAACGATGGAAATGAGTCTTGATCATCAAACCGCTTCGATATGTGTGAAAAAGGCATGCGTCTAAATGATGGAGACGATGGTAGAGACTATTTTGAAAACTTATTGTCGGATGAAAATCGAACAAAAACGATTCCCTTTTAAACTTTATCAATTCCTCAAGTAAATGTTGGCTGCATAAAATATAATTTGAAACCAGACACATGCATCAACTATTTTCAAAAATGTCTTTTACTTTAAGATTATAAAACACGAACTGTGTAAAGTACGTTTTTACGTTTTTATGCGATAAGTAAAATTCGATGTTCTAAAAAAAGGGACCTGTCGTTTTTTCGATAGTAAATGATAAGCAACTTTATATATTATATATGAAAAATATATATATTTTTACAGATTCACTTTATGGAAGTAAAATTATTGTGTATCTCATAATTTATAAAGGGAAAGAACATTCTGATTAACAATCTTTTAAATGTTTAGAAAACCTTTAATTCTGAATAACTTCTCCCACCTCAATCCCCATA